AGAAAAGGAGGGAGAGACAACAACAAGAACAAGAACTAGCAAAGCACATCGCAGAGGAGGATGACGATGAGTTCTGAACTTCTGATTTAATCACTTTCAAGAGGCATCACTTAGACCTGCATAATGCCTTCATCAAGATGTGCATTTCTCTTTCCTTGAAATTCTGGGCAAAAATGTTATAATTTTGAACTTGGCTTGCCATAGATATTTATGTTGTTTTAATTCAACTTGGTAGGACCTTATTGGTTCCAAAATTTTATTTGTACCGTTCATTTCTTCACCCATTGAACAGTCGTTTGAGTGCTATCTCATCCTGGTGAGAAACTCATCTTTAGCTTTTTCTGATCAAAGTTTTTCCGTTGCTGATTTTTATTTTATTGGTATTGAATAATGAATTAACCCCATAATTAAAATCTTCACTTGCTTTTACCTAGAGTTTTTATTTTTATCTGAAATAAATTTAAGAGATATCTATTTTTTTTTTTAGTTTTTAAATCCTTCTTATTTAAGTGATTAATTGTGAGAGATAATAGCCAACGAGTGGTCATCTCTTTCTATTGGAAATAAGAGATTTTGAATTCAAGTCGTATGGCATGCGGGTGAGGTAAAATAAAAAATTAGAGATAATTAACTTTTATTGTTTAACCAAGAAAAAAAAATGTGAGAGATAATTTGTTTGTCTATAAAAAAGAATTCATAACTTCCAGGATTCAATCATGGTGTTGAATCTTATTAAGAGATGCAGATTTTACAATAGTTAACTGAGAAAACAACCCAAAATCTGCAGTTTAACCAAAAAGACCAGCAAAACCGAAAAAACTTGACTCTACTAGAATGGGGGCCCTGACCTCCTCTCTAGCCTAATAGGAAGCTCAAGAACAAGACCACCTAAAACCAAACGTTACATAAAGTGCGTAAGTAAAGGGACACAACCGACTTGTTTATTAATAAAATAACACCAAACCTAGGACTTAGTCATGGAGGATTAGATCCCTGACACAACAGAACATCAAAGCAAAATAGCTGGTCTTTTTGTATCCATAGCTAATTAAAGCTGAAGTATAATCTGGGTAACAGTGTTCACTGCTTCTGAGATAAGAAGCATGTCTTCAGAATGCTGGCCGAGCGCTAGCTTCAACAGATCGATCTCGAGTTTGAGGTCCCCCATTGCAGTAACCATTCCCGCCGTTTCCTCTCTCACGCGGATTGTCTCCAACTTGGCAACAACAGCTTTGGCTTTCATCCTCCTCAGAGTCCTCTTCTTGAACAAAATTGATGAAATTAATCATATATCAATATATAAGTAAATTCATGGAGACGTGTGTTAAAGAAAGAAATAGGTAGGGTTTGTTGAGCAATACCTTAAGCTTGCTGCCTCTCCTTAATCCTCCATTGCGAGTCTCCCTTGTTCCCTCCATTACAACTTCGCTTTGCGTCTCTGTGATAATCTCATATATGCAAGGGGAACATTAGTGCGTATATATAGGAGTTTGAGACGAGGTGAGCGCCCTAATAATCCTCCTCTGGGGTTGCTCCCAAGACGATACAGCCACTTTGTGGGATTAATTTTTCTTCTGATGTTGAAAGCTAACTGTGGCTTGACATATATTAATTGGAGCCGCTTTGACAAAGGATTTTTCTTGTAGCGTTTTTGTTTTTTATGCATTCATAATTTTTTTGATTTTATTGCCTTTGCCCCATTCTCATCTACGCTCTAACTTTTGAAGAACCCCCGAACCTCACTTTCTTTTTTTTTTTGATGCACCCAAATCTCACTTTCTTTCTTCAATACGGATAATAACAATTGAGACATGATTACGTGGCACACAGGTCTAATATCAATTCTTCAATTATTTTAGTTATTATTTCATTTTAGAGTGTTGATATTACTTTAAAATAATATTTTTTATCATGATAATATAATTATAATATTATATAAAATTATAAATTTATAATTAAAAAATATTATTAAATACATAAATAACATTAATAAATATTTTTAAAAAAGTAATTATATTATAATTATAAATTTATAATTTTATATAATATTATTTAACACACATCCCTATAATAAGTGTGGGTAGGAGTGGGGCATCATGTTTGCCCCTTGTTCCAGGCAAAGCAAGAACAAAACGCGTAATCCCACGTTTGCCGCTTTGACAATTATGAATGCAGAATATTTTATGCATTGATTTCTTTTTGGCTCATTCTCTCAAAACCATGGAAATTTTTTACTTTTATGTTGGGATTAAAAATTTAGAGTTAATTTATATCTTTATCTATTTTGTTTTTTTAAAAAATAAAAATAAAGAGATTTTTTTTTATGATAAGATAAATAATTAAAATTAAAAGATAAATATAAAATTTAATTAAAAAATGTTTATTTATCACAAAATATAAAAAAATGATTATTATTTCTAAATAAATTTTAAATAAAAAAATCTATTCTAAGATGAGAAAGTATCTTTTTACTAATATTTATAACATGTTTAGGTTAACAAATTTTTTAACCAATCAAATTATAACGTTTTTAAATATTAAAATTTGATTTATCAAAAGATCATCCCTTCTCTTTATTTTCTTTGACCCAAATATACTATTATGCTTCAATGTTTATTCTATTAAAAATTTTAGCCTTGATTTTTTTATTTTTCTCTCAATCTTTGACTATGATAACAATTATCCTTTTTTATGCAACACAATTAATTTGTCTTTTCTTACCGCTAGAGACTGTAATACAATATAAAGGGTAATGAATGATGAAGAAGGGAAAATAAGACATTTAATGAGGGATTATCTTAAATAAATAAACTCTATACAAAAAATGCATATCGAGCTCGACTATAAAAATGTATTGGAATTCTAACCTTAAATGATCATTTCATTTAATTAAACTTCATAAATCTATATTATTAAAATTTTATATCTGAATTTGAAAAATTGATTATATTAGAATATATAATTAGTTTCTAAATTCAAGTATTAATATTTAATAAGATAGATTTTTGAGTTTTAAACTGAATTTTAATTAAATAAAATGTTGTAATTTAAAATTAAAATTTTAATTTTTTTTTAAATTGAAAACTTATATATACTATTTTTTACATAAGTATATAAGTATGGCTCGGAGCATATAAACCTTAATACTCAATATTTCATTCAATACTTAGAGATATATATTTTTTATATCTAATATTGAACCATCTATTTTCAAATATAAATAAAATACTTATTCGAACACATCACATACCCACGAATATCGAATTTACATATGCCCGATGCTCAGCCCAACTAATTGGGTAAGCCTAAATTATTAGCACGTGCTTGACCTGCGAGTTTGACCAGCACATTTTAAAGCCCATAATGATTAGATCTGGGCCAGCTCATAATTCAAAGTAAAACTGAGAAATGAGAAAGGCCTGATGGATAGAATGTAGGCCTGACCCTCAATATTAAAATATGGATCAGTTATATAGCTCCATAGCTTGGGATTGTAGTTTTGTTACTGTTGTATTATTTGAATTTCGAATTGTAAAATAGAAATTATATTAAGAAAATAAGGATTAGTATTTTTTTTTATTCAATAACTTATATTGTATAGTTCCACGTAGCCGGATACATATTATTTTTTATTTTTATAGTTGGATCCTTCAACATTCATTTAGAACTCCTCCCTATTTTAATCACCAACCCTTTTCTTCAAATTCCGTAGCAGATCTCACTGGCTTTAAGGAATTTTATATGGCCAAAATGGATCAAAATTTCAGTTTTTAAGCTCCTGATTTTCTCCTATTGATGGTATTTTCATTCTCGTCGCCAATGCTGAAGATTGTAGGAACTTCGATTTCATTGTTTCTTTCTTTGTAAACAGAACCAATTATCCGTCAACTTTCTTGACGGAGTGGGCGGTTAGAATGGTTTCGCTTCCTCCGCCTTCCACTAAAAAGATGAACGGTGCCCCTCTGGTGGTTTCTATTTCATTTGCGATTTCTTCAGCCCTATGTTATTTGCAAATTTTAATAGATTATAAGTCTGATGTTGCGGAAAATGCCCCAATCTTTCGTGGTCCATCTTCTTTAGGGTAAAAGTTAGCATCACGGAGATTTTGGTAATAAAGAAATGATAGGGAGTGCTGGAGTAGTGATCGAAAGATTTTTTTTTTTTTTTGGGAAATTGTACTTAACCTCTAATAACTAACCTGTAACAATTGTTGGGGAGATATGCGGTTTAGCAAAGTGATATTGAATAGTCCATTATATGTTTTGACGTCGCATTGAAACCAAAAAATTAACTTATTAATTTTATGAGTTTTCACGTATATAAACCACTCTTTCTTTCTTTATTTTTTCCATGTGGGATTTTAGTTTACAAAAGAAACATATTTCAACGCTCCCTTTTCACTTGTGAGTTGTGAAGACCCCATGAGAGTTCATCATTTTTTTTTTTGACATACATACATGATATGATACATGGTATACTCATTATGGGCACAACATCATCCATGGGTATACCTCCATGAGTATACTTTTCATGGGTTTACATAACACATACTCTCACTTTGCTAAGCTCAACCCAAAACCAAAATTACCATTAGTTGTGCTACACCATTGGCTCGTTGGGGAGACATACGGTTTAACGAGGTGACATTGAATAGTCCATTATATATTTCGATACCATATTAAAATCAAAAGATTAACTTATTAGTTCTATTGGTCTTCACATATATAAACCACTATTTATAATATATACTTCAACAACTTCCCTGACTTGAGAAGATGGAAAGGGAGGAGATAAATTTGCCTACAGGAATACCAATGAGATTAAGTATTTTAGTTTAAATTGTACACTAAAATTACAATCTTGATTTTAAAATTATTAAATTATTCTTAATAAATAAATATAAACAATATTTTATTAAAAATATTTTAATAATTAGACTACAAATATAATGTGCAATTCGCTCTCAAAATTCAAAAATACCTTTTTTTGAAGAACAAATATTTGGATAACAAAAATGGGAGGAGAGCAAAGAGGACGGCTTCCTTTTAAGCTAATATCTAGGATCAAACATTTGTGTTGGGTTCTTCTTCCTTCGTATTCTTTGTAATGGTTGCTGAATTTTGAGTTATTGTTAATATTTTCGAATTGGGTATTTGTTAGATTTGAAGGAGATTGCGTCTCTGATTGACACTGGCGCATGTGCACACGAAATTAGGCAAATTGTGCGAGCCGTGAGGCTTATTATGGCGATCCGGCGGAAACTGAAGGCCCCCATTCTCTCTGCTTTCCTCAATTTCGCTCTTCCTCCGGGATCTGAGGCGCATAGTAGGCTGTCTTCTTATCTTCCAAAGGTAAAGCTTCAGGCTTTCTGTATTGAGCAATTCGTGATGAGAAAGTGATTATTTTGAAAGTGTAGAGTTGTCACAGTTGTTAGGATGCGTGTTCATCAATTTGGAAACTTGTGTGGATTGCATTCTCAAACATTGCATTGCTCAACGTTGGTGATAGAAGATGAGCATGATATGGAAGTTGATACTGCTACCTCTTCACTTCAAGCTTCTGCAAAACATCCATCGCCGGAGCTGGAAATCTATTGCTACTTGCTTGTCTTGATATTTCTGATTGATCAAAAGAAGTACGATGAGGTGAGTGAACAAATTGTTTCATCAAGGATCTTTTTCTGTTTCTTTTACATAAGTAACATAACAATCGTTGTTTTAGGCAAAAGCTTTCTCCTCTGCAAGCATTGCTCGGCTGAAGAACGTGAATAGGAGGACTGTTGATGTTCTAGCTGCCAGGCTTTACTTCTACTACTCTCTCAGCTATGAACTTACTACCGCTGATCTTGCTGAAGTTAGAGGGTAATTTGTATTTCACTATTTTCATTTTGTAAGATATCCTAGTGTACCGTGGATTGTGTACTTATTCAGAAGTGAACCACAGTATTAGATTCTAGCTAGGTCTGACAAAAATGCTGATTATTGACAGTAACCTTCTTGCCCTGCACCGAATTGCAACATTGCGTCATGATGAGTTGGGACAGGTAAATGTTTCAACTATGTAAGCAGCTTAGGCTATGTTGCTATGGTTTTGTCCATATTTGAATGTTTTTCTGATGCAGGAAACACTTCTCAACCTGCTGCTTCGCAATTACCATCATTACAATTTGTATGATCAGGAGGAGAAACTGAGGTCAAAGGCACCAAGATTCGAAGAACACTCAAACCTGCAGGCAACTCTCTGTTTTCCATATCTTTTTATTTTTAGTATTATATCTCATATGAACTTATTACTCACATTGTTTGAATTAGACTTGTGGAATTTTCCACTGTCCAAAAATGCA